TTACAGGACTAGGATGATACTGTAAATGCTTAGGACAGCTCTGAACCCAAATAAGAACGAATGACAGCACAATTCCTCAGCAAAAGCACATCACTCAAGACTGAAGTCAGTGAAATCCTAGAAAGCCATTCTCCCTAAACGACATTCCCACAACTCCAGCAAGACTTCCCCCTGCCCCCAATAGTAAAACTACGCTTAGCAGAGGTGGTGATGCATACCTGTAAGCCCAGCACCTGGGAAGTGGAAGAGGGGGTCAAGAGGACCAAGAGTTCAGTGTCACCCTCATCTACAGAGGGAGTCTGAGGCCAGCCTGGGCTACACGGATAAAATCCTCCCTTACAACAAATCCAAAAAAAAAACAACGGCAGAGAATTGAGATGAAGCCAACTAATGAGCAGAGAAGTGAACAGTTCTTAGCTTCCTCTTCTTTACAACAGAAGATATTATCTTCTTTACAATAGATGAATAAACAAAATGATCTTCTGAGTGTCCCACACAGGCACAACAGTATTCTTACTATGGAGTAAAAGGGGCTGGCGTAACGTCGGGAGTACAGAAGTGCAGAAAAGGGACATACCTTCGCTTTTCCTTTAGGGACGTAGTAGATGCCAGATGCTCGCAAGAGAAAATAACGCTTTTTCCAGGACTTCTTGCCATCATCTTTCAGCCAAAGGACTCCTTCAATTTCTGGGACAGTTACAGAGCTTCCACAAAAACATTCCTTTAAAAAAATCATTTGGAAAGATTTATGATCCTTATATTTTCAGAAAATGAATTATCTACTCCTGTGAGATGCATAACACTAGATAAAGCAAAACAGTTTTGTATTAAAACTGCACTAGCTTTCTGAAAGAACTTTCTATTCTAAACATAGCAGGAATTTACTTTAGAATTACTGTAGCAATCCTAAAGTGTTTAATAATAAAAATGTGTCATGGGACCTCACAGTTGGAATCCCACCACTTATAAAAAGCTGGGTATGGCTGCAAGTACTTGCTGGGTAGCCAATCTAGCTAAAAAGGTGGGCTTCAAGTTCAGAGGGACTAAGGGAGAGAGGGGGAGAGAGAGAGAGAGAGAGGAGAGAGAGAGAGGAGAGAGAGAGAGAGAGAGAGAGAGAGAGAGAGAGAGAGAGAGAGAGAGAGAGAGAGAGAAGACTCCTGCATTCTCCTCTAGCCTGTGTCTGCAGATAGGGATGTGTGATCCTAAATGCTCATGTACATACATACACAACATACACCACACCACAAAAAGGTTTGCCTCCAAAGTGCTGGGAATTAAAGGTGTGCACCACCACTGCCCAGTGGGAAATAGTCTTTATTATAGTCATGACAGAGGCAGGCAGAGCTCTGTGAGTCTGAGGTTAGCCTGGTCTACAGAGTGAGTTCCATGATAGCCAGGGCTACACAGAGAAATCCTGTCTCAAAACAAAACGAAACAAAAAACAAATCAAACAAAAAAAGACTATTTCCCTCTGAACTCGACTGATTTGCTTATAACACTACTGAGTCCCACTTCTTTGCGTGTTTGGGATGTGTGGTGATGAGCATGTCCACGTGTGGAGGCTGAAGGCTGATGTCAGGCGTCTTCCTCAGCTGCCTTCCACCTAAGTTTCTGAGACAAGGTCTCTCACTGACCGAGAGCGCCGAGGCTAGGCCAGCTGGTTTGTGCACACCAGGAACTGCTTCAATTACAAATGCACACTGCCCTGCCTGGCTCTCGTGTAGGTGGCCGGAGCGTCTCCATGCTTGCTCAGAAAGTGCTGCTGGGGGCCACCTGACTGTAGGAAAAGCTGGTGTAACCAGCACAGCCATATTTTCTTCCTCCTATCTGCAACCCCTTAAAAGGTCATTACTCCTTTTAATCCACTAGAACATTGCTTGGCAAAAAGAACAGTTTGTAAGAGATTTGTTAGAGGCTCAACAGGCACACACAGACAGAGCTGACTTCCAAGGATGCTAACGCGTCACTTTTAAGTGTGCGGGAAGGGAGAGGGAACCATACCTCTAACAGCACTTCTTTGTTCCTGTCGGCCATTTCAACCGTTTCCTTCTTCCCAAGAAGATAATTCTAAAGAAACAGTGAGACAAAAATGCAAGGATAAACTCACTCTGCCGTTCCCTGGGGAGGAAACACACACATCAGTTGCTCTAGAGAAGTGGCCACTCCACAGCTGTGCCAGTGTGCAGGGGAGGGAAGCTCCCTCCATGGAAGCGTCATCATTAAAGGTTCCTCATCCACCGCCATCCTTGCCCAACACATGCTATGGAGTATTCCACAGAGCGCCCTCCCCCACATTCTGAGGTGACAATATATGCAACAACGAGTATTTTGAGATATTTCATTGTTATACAAAAATACCCAGAAGCATTAGAAATGAAGTAGAAGAAATCGGGAAAGGTTTCCTGAGACATGCTAAGTCAGCATAGTTCTATTCTGGATCTAGCATGCCGTTCCAGATGATGATTAATATTCTGGCTTTTTAAGAGGAAATCTCAAATTCTGCCATGGCTGTAAGAGTCTCCTTTGCTTGGTTTAATTAAAATCTGAACTGTAATCATTAGTATGATGATTACAAAAGATCCATCGACACTTCTTAACATACATTCTTCATTAAACAACCACAACTTAGTCTGAGGAGTAGAACCTGACTGCCTTTTAGCGCAGAGTTCTTGCTTTTCTTGACCGACTGGGGAGGAAGTGGACGGACAGGAGTGGGGGAGGGGAGAGGGGGAGGGGAGGGGGGATAGGGAGAGGGGGAGGGGAGGGGGGATAGGGAGAGGGGGAGGGGAGGGGCATGGGGAGAAGCAGGAGGACAAAAAGTATAAAGTATGTCTGGAAATGGTATAAGGAAGCACATTACTTTAGTCTGCTAATTTTCAAAGCACAAGTGTTGTGAATTCTAACCCAGATATTACATTGTCATAATAAAAGATGACAAACAGAGGTATTATGTAATTCAGCAAAGAAATTAAAATAATTAGCTAGATAAAACCCCCTGGCCTGCTTTGGTGAAATAAGAGCCTCAAATGTTAATGAACTGCTGGGCTCACCAAACTCTGGATTTACAGAGAAGAAACCTAGTGATCCCCTGGAACTATTTACATTTCTATCAAAGTTCACCCTGTGTGGGACTGGGAACCTTTCTGAGGCCTAACACCTGCCCCCAAGTTCCTGTCCACCTCAGTAGTCATGACTGCTCTTGTAGGGGTTTGCAGCTACAATGCCCAATCATAGGCTGCCAGTCTATGACTCGGCACTTATAAGTTAGTCAGGCTTACCTGGGGGTTTTTAAAAAGTGCGTATTTTTCTATACGCTCCATAAATACAAGCTTGTTTTGACTGTCTCTTGTCCAATTAAGAAGATTTTCAACCAAGTTTTCATGGTCTTCAAAGATTCTCTCTGTTCCAAAATAAAATACCAGCTCTTTGTTAGTATTCACCAGAATTACATAAAAGGCAAGATAAAGCCTATCAGAATTACAGAATCTTTGTGAGTGCAGAGGCCAAAGGCTGAAAAGGATGAGTATCATCCTCAACTGCTCTCCACCTTACATTCTGAAACAGTCTCTCACTGAACACGGAGCTCACCAATGCAGCTACCCTGACTGGGTAGCAAGCTCTGCCATCCTCTTTCTCTATCCCCCCAGGGCTGGAATTACAGATGCATGGTTCTGTAACTGGATTTTTTTAAAATGTGGGTTCAGGGTGGTGTGTGTGTGTGTCAGACTAAAGTCTGTACACACAGACACACACACGACACAGACACACATACGCACGCACGCACAAGCGCGCACACACGAAATAATACTGAATGTATGTTAAAAGTATTCTTTCGGGTTTGTTGATGTGCTTTGTTCTCCCTTGGAGTTAAAGGCTTTTTGTACAAACACCAGTAAATGTTAACAGAATCAGTGCTGGAAAGATGGCTCAGCACCAAGCACTCTTGAACAGGATCCAGGTTCAGTTCTCAGCACCCACATCAGGCAGCTCATCACTCCCTGTACCTCCAGTGCTCGAGGGTCTGACACCCTCTTCTGGCTTCTTCATGCACATGATGCATGTACATACACCCAGACACATAACATAAGTAAACGGAAAAGTAAAAATCTTCCATAACAGTTTTTAGTAAATGTATTTATGCAGCTCTTCTTCCTTCCTTCCTTTCTTCCTTTCTTCCTTTCTTTCTTTCTT